AAGGGGTTTTTAAAAAAAAAAAAAAAAAAAAAAAAAAAAAAAGCTATTCTACAGTGAATATTCTTGGAGTACTGCCATCTTCTGTCCTCTGATGAAAATTACTGTGATCCCTGAGACAGCTTTGATCTGTGCCAGCCAGCACTTTCAGTCAATTCCTACAGCTGGGAAAGCATCGGGGAGAAGCGGCTGTTCTTATTGGGGAGCCCTCCCAGGTATCTCAGATGAACATATGGTAAAAGCAAAATTAAGCTTAGCATAATAACAGAAAACGACTCCGAAGGGATCTGAATCCAAGTACTCACATGTCTGTGAAATTGTTATTGTAGTCATCAATATATCCTGCTGGTGCTGAGTATTAAGTTCAAACAAATACAGGTAATTCTCGACTAGACTTTATCTGAAATTTGGAAATATTCAACACTCAACACATCAATCCTCTGCATCAAACTTACTGCTGTATCATATCGTTGCTTTGAATTTTTTTACGTTGATTAACATTTTTTCTTTCTATACTTTACTTTGGAGGTTGGAGATGAAATAGTTCGTATAAATGGATATTCCATCTCTTCCTGCACACATGAGGAAGTGATAAATCTCATTCGCACAAAGAAAATAGTGTCCATAAAAGTAAGACGTAAGTAACTTCAAAAATCACATATGTTGCTAAAGGTTGTGGTTAACACATGGGTAATGACCTCTAGAAAGTGTTGCTTAACACCATATTTTCTTTTTCAGATATTGGCATGATACCTGTCAAAAGGTAAATTAAACAATTGTATCTACAAATTAAATGAACCAATTTCTGTTTATCATTATAGCTTGTTACCTAGAATGCCACTATCCATGCATCTTGCTTGAGAGCTGCAGTGCTTCTGCATGCATGTAACATTCGAGGAATGAGAAACACCAGTGCTTATAAAAATTTTGAATTTTTGTTCATGACCTTTTCTAATTTTCATTGAAAAGTTGGCTCTTTGTAATAAAATGGATTGCCTTATGAATGATATTGATGGGGAGGTCTCTATCTTGACAATCATATAAACTATTTAAGTTTTTATTATTTTTTGTATAGAGTTTCCCAAAGTTGTTTCATTTGTTTAATGTTTATTTCTAAATTGTTTAATTGAGGTTCATTTAATTTTGTTTGATCAACTTTACTAGTGTAAATTACTGCATGCTTACTTGATGTTTTATTTAAATAGCTGCAAAATACACTCTTTGCTGTGAATGCTGTCCAAATGAACCTGTGGATGCCAAAAAGGAGGTTGAATTACACATTAGCTTTTTGAATACATTTACATTTGTTTTCTTACCATTATTTTAAATCACTTTTTCCTTCTAGTTCAGCAGATGAACCCCTTAAATGGCAATATGTGGACCAGTTCGTGTCAGACTCTGGGGTAAGGGATCAGTGTTTGACTAGGATGTCTTCTGGGGAAATACATAATGGTTCTGAAATAACCTGCCTCGAAACTTATTCACAGAGGTTACCGTATTTTTTTTTTATGGTGCAAAGTCTTGTTAGAAGTGTTCTAGAAGAAACATATTTTGTGATACGAAATAACTCTAGAGTCATTAGATACGGAAAATGCATTATACAAATGAAGTATCTTCTAGTAGTTTGTTTGACATTATTAACTTAGTGTGACTTTTTTTTATTATATCAATCTTTTAACAGTTTGACTTATTGCTAATCCCCCTACAGGAGGGAAAAGGCAGTGTTGCTGGTCTTGCTTCATCTGGAGGGAGAAACAGTAAAGAGAAGAAAGTCTTTATTAGCTTGATTGGTACAAAAGGCATGGGATGCAGGTGGGTAGATGATTCTTGTTTAACATCATTTGCAGAGCACATTGCTGATGTGAGGCATGTTTGCTTATTTTTTGTTTGTTTTTACATCAGTATTTCCAGTGGTCCAACACAAAAACCAGGCATTTTTATCAGCAATGTTAAGCCAGGTTCTCTTTCAGCAGAGGTGGGCTTAGAGGTAAGTATGACGGTTTACAAGGTAGGTACCCCAAGTAAATCTTATTTTACTCCTTTAGAAGTTTTTCATCAGCATAAGGGCACTAGTTTTCTTTTTTCCATGGGAAACAAATACTGAGATGAGTTTTCTAAATTTTAAGAACATAAAAAGCATCCTCCTAGGTCAGAACATCCAGCTTGATGTTTTGCCTCAAAGGAGATAAAAATGCTAACAAGGCTTGCCAATTTTCACTGGCCATTCCCCTCATACTTGATCAAGATCCATGATTATTGCATTATGAATGTCACAGGCTGTACTTCTCTAAAATTCCCTTTAGGATCTGCGCTAATTTAGCATCTGTACTAAAATTTGGGTTAATTTCTTTAGGTTGGTGATCAAATTGTAGAGGTAAACGGAGTGGATTTTTCTAATGTGGATCATAAAGAGGTAAGGTTAAGACTTCATGAATGAGTAGCAGTCCATGTTTTAAGAGTCTGTTCAATTCTTTTGCAAAAATTTGTGTGTTGGTTGTTAACCAAAGGGGTTGTGTGATGAGCATGGGGATTTGGGGATCTGAATACCTACCCACTTTTTAGTTTAAATTGGTCATCTTGAAATTTCAGCTTTGAATACCAATATATTGTCATCCTGTATACACAAGACTGCTATCAGTACATGCACATTTTTTGTTTTGTTTAATTTGCAGGCTGTCAGAGTGCTAAAAAGCAGTCATACCTTGACCATCTCTGTTGTGGCTGGGGCCGTAAGTAGTAAACTTAGAAAAAAAAAAAGTCATGAAAACTATGATATGGGCAAATAAATATTAAAAATAAATAGATGAGAAATAAAGCTATATATTTTATTGTAGTGTTTATAGTGCTAACTCTAATCAAACCAGTGGTTTGGAACAGCTTCCTTGCAAAAATATTTCGCTGAAAGCTATCCACAGTGTTTTCAGATAAAACGTCATCATGACTGTGGGTTTGTTCCCATGAGTGCTGGTACAAATATGTTCACTTGACAATGTCAGAAAACTAATTTTGCAGTAATGATTTCTCACATTTGAGAGCTTGTGTTCCGATATGACTTCTTTTGCTGAAACGTAAAAGGTGGACTGGATTAGAGTTAATTAGTATTTCTTCCTAAATAGCTACTGTATTAAGGTCTTGTTCCAAATTAATTCCTCATTTAACTGTTAATTTGATCTTAAACATATCAACACATTAAAAAA